CAAGGCTTGGGACAAGTGACTTCTTGCCTTGCCTTGTCTGCCCTGCCCTCCCCTGCCCTGTACTGCCTTTCCATGCCTTTCCTTGCCTTGACTTTCCTTGCCATACCCTGCCCTGCCGTGCCCTGCCTTGTCTTGCCTTGCCTGCCCTGCCCTGACCTCCCCTTCCTTGCCTTGCCTTGTCTTGCCCTGCCTTGCCTTGCTTTACCTTGCCTTGCCTTTCCCTCGGCTGCCCTGCCTGGCCCTGTTTTGCCTTGCCTTGCCCTGCCCTGTCCTGCCCTGCTCTGCGTTGACCTGCCTTGCCTTGCCTTTCCTTGCCTTGCTTTGCTTTGCCTTGCATTGCCATGCCTTGCCTTGCCCTGCCTGCCCTGCCCTGCCTTGCGTTGCCCTGATCTGCCTTGAATTGCCTTGCTGTGCCATGCCTTGCCTTGCCCTGCCCTGCCTTGCGTTGCCCTGATCTGCCTTGAATTGCCTTGCTGTGCCATGCCTTGCCTTGCCCTGCCCTGCCTTGCGTTGCCCTGCCTTGAATTGCCTTGCTGTGCCTTGCCTTTCCTTGCCCTGCATTGAATTGCGTTGCCTTGCCTTTCCTTGCCTTGCCCTGACTTGCAAGGCAAGGCAAGGCAAGGCCGAAATTTCCTGCTTATATACGCGTTTTGGACATTTCTCTTTCTTGCATAGAGTTTACATAATACAATCCTGCTCTAAACGGTGCTTCCTCTCCCGTAAAAACTGTTTCATTATTCCCTTCCAAATAGTGCGCTATACACAGACACACTTCCCTGGTAACAGCGTTTACAAAAGCTTATGTCGTTATCATATTGATGACGTTGTAAAACATGTGCAGACTAGCATGGACAATGGCTCATGATTGTCAAAATTCACGGCATTAAAGTTGGGTGAGGGGGGGGAAGGAACCGAAAATCAAATAGTACTGTTTGCTAAATAGATTCCAATGGCATAATATCCATGAGGAATTTCAATAACATCCGTCCACCAATTCCAAAGTTTTGAGATGACAGAAATTACTTCGTCAGGCTGACGGTAGATAGGAGTACATTCTCTGTGGCTGAAAGCCGTGAGACACAAGCCAAAGTTAAAGGTAAACACCGAAAAGCCACCGAAGAGGTAGTGTAAAACCGAAGCGGGCCAAATAACCGAACGAGAAACGGGATGATGCCAGCCATTAAAAAAAGCCTCAAATGGAGAATGTAACAACACCTCAGTTGGATTTGGAACTCGCGATCCTCACTTGACCTGCTAAATCTATAACTCAAACCACTCTTACCTCTAGCTTGGCCCCCCTCAGTCACGTGGTTAGTTTCCTCTTTGATATCAACAAAACCACAATCGAACACTTTATAACATGACTACTTCAAGACAATAGGCCCGCAAAATCTATCGTAATGTCTTGACTCGTAAATGTTGAAAAAGTTTGGCTATATAAGTTATTAGGATAGCATAAGCTTCTGGCACTCTTCCACTCTTTCTTGCACAGAGTGAGGTTATGTCTCTTTGGATATGATACTTTAGTGAATATGGAGAAGCAGTTTTTAGAATGACATTGACTGGAGAAAAAAAGGCACCACTGCCCACCCCAGATCACACGTGGACTGAGCTGGGCCCGATCACTGACCACTTCGGTATGAAGCCGTCAGTTAACCGTATGTATTAAAGTACGACGTTAATGCATTTATTAAAAGGAACGGATCCAGCCCACAGAAATCAGGTCAAACCTAATGAACTTCCAAAAGCATGTATGTAGCTTTTCCACGAAGTAATCATAGTAAGCCGAATTAACTTTGGGAAACGTCTAACTAAAGCGTATGTTATGGCGGATTGCCTCAAAACACTGAGACGAGATAAATCCGGTTTCCAATACAGTCAATAAAACAGCTGTAAGTTGTCTGTGAATGACATTTCGTCCATTCACGATGAACCTTTTTATATAATACTTCAGTGGCCGTTATCAACACATTCATTGTCAGGGTTTACAAATTCTGCAACAACCTGAAAGTTATTAAAATATTTAAATATTTAAAAATAACCGTCAATCACAACAAAATTAAAAGATTAAAATATCATATTATGTTCCCTATCGAGTACTCGATTTACATATGGAACTTACACAACATGTTTCGGCTATATGTAGCCATCTTCTGGTGTATTATATATAAACTTTTTACTGAATTACTTTTTACGATTTTAATGATTTTTCTTCTGATGTTTTGTCCTTTATATTGATTCACCATTCGTTGTAGTACCATTTGTTGTGGTATCCCAGGTTGCAAATATGTTAATTTCGTATTACGTATTGATGTCGAAGTTCGTATATGGACTGTGAAGTAAATGTCCATATACGAACTTCGACATCAATACATAATACGAAATTAACATATTTGCGACCTGGGATACTACAACAAATGGTACTACAACGAATGGTGAATCAATATAAAGGACAAAACATCAGAAGAAAAATCATTAAAATCGTAAAAAGTAATTCAGTAAAAAGTTTATATATAATACACCAGAAGATGGCTACATATAGCCGAAACATGTTGTGTAAGTTCCATATGTAAATCGAGTACTCGATAGGGAACATAATATGATATTTTAATCTTTTAATTTTATTGTGATTGACGGTTATTTTTAAATATTAAATATTTTAATACTATTAATTCACAATATGACGCATCTACAATACCTTATAAATAATATTTATGTTCCGGTCATAATAATATAACTGTTAATATTCACTATGACCCTGATCCTCATGATAACATGTTTATATCCACGGGTAAGTTTGGAAAATTCCTGAAAGTTGCTGGTTATTCATTGGCAGCCTCAAACACACAACCACTTGCCAGTTAGGGCTGAAGACGGGTTTCATACCTTCACAAGTCTTTTTAAAATGATGCTTAATCATACAAAACTGCGGTGTTTTGGGCCTAACGTGAGTACGTGCACAACTATTTCAAAACTGCAGTCCTCCTACGTCAGACTCGAAGTCACCGACGTGAACCATCGCACTTGTCATCTTCTTGTACTTCTAAAGAATTTTGAGGGCAGTCTCTTGAAATAAGCTGAATGCCTTAAAATGGGAAATGTACGTTTATCAAATCGCCTGAAGATGGAAGCAACGCTTTCCTCCGAAACATCACTAATTGCCTACAGTGTTACAACGCAGAAGACCAGCATCGACGCCAGAGAACATCAAATTTCCTTTGAACAGCGCAGGTGGGACCTAACGACTGAGACACTGGGGCAGTTCACCCCTGTAACTCAGGAGATCACTTTTCTTTGTATTGTTATTGTTAATTTCTATCGCTTTTGTCATTCCTACAGTCGAGTGTCCCGATTTCCCGGTTCATCCTAGTAGGCAGACCATCAAATAACCTCACGATGAAACATGAAACAGCATTCTTCGTATTCACGCTACAAAGGGGCACGTCTGTTGGGAGAGAGTACTGCGTCTCCAATCTGTTTTACCCTACATAAAATGGACTTTATTATTTTCCTGTTTTCTTGCACTAACAGAGGCATAAATAACATTACATCGCGAAATAAGTGCTGCTAACATTAGGGAAATTTTACAAGTATTTCTGCCATTAAGCAGCTTTTAGAAATAATTCTGATTTGTGTGATGAAGAGGCTGAAAGAAAAGGAGTAGGAGAGAACGGAGGCGTGGAAATGGGCGAGTGAAAGGAATAGAGGGAGAATGGATGAAGATGCCCCGAATTCATTCCTTCTTCCAGTAAATGTCTTTAACATTATGCAAAATTTATGTAAATACCTCTTAGATTTTAGAAAAGAGTTTTAATGAAATTTAGAAATACATAATTTTTCACAAATGAAAGTTTTTAACAAGAAGGATCTGAGGTTCTTAAGGATGGCTGTCTTCTGGGTTGTAGCACCGAGTACTCCGGCAGAAGTTCACCAGCATTTCAGACGTCGTTGCTTCCTCCTACACTCATAACCCTGATGTTGGAGGCAGCATGTACGCTGAATCATCAGTAAACGACTGAAAGACTGCGTGGCGCTGCAACCCAGAAGACAGCCGTCTTCATCGTCTTCAAATGGAGACTGTTTAACACAATCCACAACCTGGTATTCACGATGTGGCCCGTCAAAGCAGCCACTGCATTTGCCCCATTCACCAGTGCGCCACCTGAAACAAAGAGGGTGATTACATTCCAATCTTCTTGTCATTGCAATTATTTTCATGTGACTGTACCCTTTCAAAGCAAATAACATGTTACTTATTACCTTCTTAATCAAAACAATTTAGTGCAAATTCTGTCCTTAAATCTCTGTACGTGCAATAATCTGTAAAAATCACATTAACATCCACTGAATGTGCAAGGATGGAGCAGAAGGGAAAAACAAGAAAGATGGGAAGGTAATATGGATATGAATCTCAGATAAATATGGTGTAAAGGAAGCACAGAAGAGGCCCTTCAAGAGCCTTAGTCAATGGGTGATATATTGACCAGCTGAATCTCAAATTTTCGAAGAAGACCACACATCAGAAAATTCGTTTGGCTACTTGAACCAAAGAATATTCTGACGTCTTGTATGCCAAAGGCAAAGAGTAAATAATAATAATAATCCGTGGTGTAACAGCTTCAGAGCCAAAGCCGACTAGCTGGCTGCTGGCCTCACGTTCACATGCGTAATCAGAGGTGAACGATCATCCAACCAGATACAGGATGACGTGTGGTCAGCACGACAAACACCCAGCCATTGCTGGCTTTCCTGTCCGGATTACGCTACTCATTGTATCTCCCCAATTTCCTCACGATGCTGGGATGGCACCGATCCCATACACTGGTCGAAAGCTCACTAGAAGATTTCTTCTCCCCCGAGAATCAAACCAATGCACATTCCATATCGCCGGTCAGAAGCATGATGCCTCAGACCGCGTGGCTACGGCGCGGGACCAATGGCAAAGAGTGTCAGGAGAAAACATAATCATCTTGGACTTGTTCCTAGGCAATCACTTGTGGGCTTTTTAGTGAATTTATATTTTAGACAATCAGGCAAATGCGTTGAAGAATTTTCAACGTGATTCTACTTGATCTGTCTGGCCTTTCTAGAAACATCACTAATTTTATTTTCAAATATTTAACACGGGCCTATACACTTTCTTACATGTTCACTGTAGGCCTAAGGGAAATTTTTCAGAACAATCTGCACACAGTGTCAAGATGTATTATTCCTTTTTGTATCCCACATGATTATAACCAATTCACATTTTTAGAAAAGCAATTTTAATCGTCTCACTTCCAGCCTTTTCTTCACAATCAGTACGACAACAACGTACAAAGTCTCCTTCCCGATAACAGAAAAATGCTTTTGGTTGTTCTGAACGGAAGGATCACACTGATGAACAATTTAGAGAATTTTATTGAGCAAACACTCTTACTGATATTTTAACTTACCAGGCGTTCACTTGACGTCATCTTCGTTCTGGGCTTCACACCGCACTCCTGTGTTATTTACTTATCGCAAGCCTGAAAATGGAGCACATTTAGCATCATTATCGCTTTCTCAGGCTAAACCGTAAAATTCAACAACTATAACATCTTTCTAGATCTTTACCTCCATTCTCTGATAAATAATTCAGTTGTTGTGTTAAAAGACAAAATTTATGGGCGGAGGAACAAGCATGTCGGCTCAGAGCAACACGTCTGAAGTTTATTGACACGTCACAGAATAGCACACATACAGTGAGATCTTCTCCGAGCACCCAAGCAAACTGTGGGACAGCTACAGAAAACTCACACGTAAACTTGTAAATCAAGTTTTACGAAGGCACACGGGAAACTGAGATGAACAACGAAGATAATTTCCAGCATCTACCCTAATCACGGGAAGTTTTATTTTTGGTGAATTCTGGCTGCGAGTGTGTTGGTTCCCTAGCAGCCGGAATATCTACGGCCAGCCTGACAGCAGGAGCGTCCGACTCTTCCACCCGAGAGGTCCACCAATTTGCAAGATGCACAAAAATAATCTCACTGCATTATACTCCTCTATGTGACTGACAAATTCCATCATTCCGCAATGTAGTGCAGGCGTCAGACTGAATATCGGACTCACCTCGGTATTACACGGTCTGTGTCGGCGACGTTTCCCAAGACAATACTCCCCGTGGCCAGCAGTTCTGGGGTTGTCACATTTGCGTTCACTGGAAGATGTTCCACCACCACATTTCTTAGAACACTCGGACCACGAGCCCCACTCTCCCCACTGGCCATTAACGGCCTTCGCCCTCACACCGACATCAACGCATTCGCCCGAAAAGCACCACTGTAAATGCATTAAAGTTCCAGGTAATTTTGGCGACAAAATAAAAATTATGTCCGCTAAAGGTGCAATGTGACGGTTAAAATATCACTTTGTAATGATGAGTGTGTTACGTCACAGCATAAATCGATCCTTTGATCATCACGAGTATGGAGCACTGCTGGAATGACAATGACAGGGGAAGACCAAATATCACGCTAAGAAACTTGTCCCAGTGCCATTTGTATCTGCCACAAGTCCTGCATAGACTGGCAGCCTGTAACTTGGGGGGGGGGTCCAACAAACTTTCTGTATTTTTTCAGGTTATTCTGATTTCTCTTTAACTACATAATCTGATTTTTCAGTGCAAATGCTTAAAACTGCATTCCCCGATCATTTAAACACAAGTAGTCTGTCCACTCGAGTGTTTTTATTCCTGCTCTATTACAACAGAAAACGGGCTGGACGATTTGCGTTCGATCCCGGACGGAGGCAGAGGATTTTTCCTCTGGCCTCTGTGTCCAGACCGGCTCTGGGGCCCACCCAGCCTCCTGTCCAATGGGTACAGGGGTCCTTTCCCAGGGGTAAAGCGCGGCTGGGGCGTGATGCTGACCACTCTCACTCCATCTAGTGCCGAGGTCAAGAAAGAGTTGGAACTGTACCTGTACGACCTACGTGGCGTGTAGCGGGACAGCGATTACAACGGAAAAGATTTGCTTTCTTGAGGTGGAACTACAATCTACAGACTGCAATTTGAGCAATGCAACGTCAGTCTGGCAGACACGACTTCCGATACTTATTTTGTAATTTTCGCCATAAATTCTGGGATAAAAAGGTTCACCTTTACGTTCCATAAATAAAATGAAATACTTAATTCTATTTATACCTTGTTATCGCCGCAGCTGGTTCCATCGGCTGGTGGGCCGATAAAAGTACACTCCTGGGCACCGGCGGTCCTGCACGTCAGGTACTTGCAGTTTTTATCCTGTAAATGATGGTAAAATTTAATGTGAGGATGAAGGCAGCAGCAGATCACAGATCCAGCATCGTCCATTTCGAATAAGAGGCACGAGAGATATGTGCATTTGTGACTCTACGTAGTGACCATTAAAATCCTTGTTTGTCTTTTCATCTGTACGCAGTGGCAAAAAAATGGATGAACAAAATTTTATTAATTTAAATAAAAAACATACCAACACATAACATTTACCTATCCAGGTTGTACATGAAAAGCCATCTTTAATAAATAACCCTGGCACTCACGTTACAATCTAATGTTATGAACATCAATGCAGAATACGAATGCACTGCCCTGTCTGATAAGTTGCGCCTCTGAAGAGGAAGGAGAAATTCAAAATCAGGAAAAATCATAACGTCAAACGTTCAAATATAAACAGAAGTCACACAAACCGGGCCGTGGTCGCAAGGCTCCATAGGTCCAAAACTGTCGATACACTGCCACGCACGGTCATACAAAACGCCAGGAAGCATTTCAGGAAATTTGAAGTCGTGTTCTTGAGGTTCATTTAACAGACAAGTACCTAAGCCGCTCCTGCAAAAGATACTGGAATAAATATGTTCTTCTTGCAATTTCAGAAACTTTCAAAATTAAATATGACCAGGACGAGTAATGTGCAGCAGAATATACACAAGTTTCAAAATGTGTTACTAATATTTTGTACACATTTCTGAAAGCCTCCATGCATGCTACGGGCCACACCACCTTCTGCTTCTTGATTTGATTATCCTAATAATATTTGGTGACAAGTAGCTACAAATACAGATATATATATATATATATATAAATAAACCCACATTTCACCATTTTCGTTTACTTCAAATTGATAATGTTTCTAGGGCAATGTCGCACGCGTTACCAATGCAATTTGAAAACAAAAAAACAGCTCAATACGTGGTTTATTAGGGCATGACATACTCAAAAAATTCTGCTATGAATTTCTTGCTGCAAGTTGACCAACTCGCAGGCGAAACCTGAGACCACGGTGCCATAACATGGATATTGTAACCTTCTACTGCTCCCGGGCATTCTCCCGGTGGGGGGTTGTCATCTTCAGAGTCGTGGTCAGCACCCAACCTGTAACACACCGCAACGCACAGACGTAAACAAGGCAGATAGACAGGCATATTCATAGGGCATACCACAAATAAAGGTCTCTGTTAATGAGACGCACATATCGTACCTTGCGATTAAACAGTAGCGACAATACGACCACATGATTAGTATATAAAAGTCTCTTTATTCATCTGAATCAACGCTAACTTCATGGAGCAGAGTTCTCCAGAAGCCGATAGTAACTGAGCCAATCAAGGAATTTCTTAACTTTCACTGCCATGATTACAACAGATCAACACCGAACCCTATCCCAAGATAACTGAATGAAGGCTAAATGCGGCAGATCTTAACCCAATAAGATCAATATTTGATGTGACTCTTTCCTTGGATGTTACGCCTTAAAGCTCCTGTGAAACGTCTGTCAACTTCTACCAGACTACATCCGAGTCAAAGCAAGAACATCAAATCCCATCATTTTTAACATTATCCTCCCGTATACACCTGGTTTCCGAGTTGTACCTCCCCCTGAATTTTCCTGACCACAAAGTTTGAAAATATCTCATTTCTCACGTGTTAATGCTACGTCATATTACGCTGTAAAATTTCTGTTGTCTGTTATCAAAAAACATATATAATGAAAAACGGATATTGGCCACCAGAATATGTAGAAAGAAGAGAAGCGTTAGGAAGAAAGATCGACAGTATGATAGAAAACCATCGTAGAAATTAAAGTAGAAAATTTCATAAGGAGCTTAAAGAAGTAACACACGAATTTAGACCTAAAGCTGTAACTCGTCGAACAAGCTAAGACCCACACAGGGTTATAATGCTACAAGAAGAAGATATCAAAAACATAATGTTTATGAACTTACAAGTGGCCTATTTCATGTGCAATGATGGTACCAACAACTAAGCCTTTATCTTCGCAGATACAACAAGATTGGTTCGGACCGCAGGCGCCTGCAATATCAGCGAGACCCGAAGTTCCGCAGTCATCCGGTCCTAAGCACATGTCATGCCTAAAAATAAGGAATTACAGTCATAAGCATAGATTAGCATTTTTTTTAATTCAAGATTACAACTCGTTACTTCCAGTCACGCCTTAATGCTGCAAACTGGTTTCATCGACGTGGCCTTTCACCAGGGGTTTCCATACATTTCAGAAGTTCAGTCAAACTAAAACTTTCTTCTTGCTTTACCCATCGTCTAGGTGCTTTAAAAAAACACGATGCCTAAAACTAGACTTGAGACTAGCTTAATCGGGCGGCCAAATGATCAGGCATTTGTCCTCTTGTCACCAGAGGGCCAAGACAGAATCAACTGCCGAAATTTGCTGGCTGTTTAAAACTTCTAGAGACAGACAGACAGAAACCTTCAAATGTCAAAAACTTATCTGATTTCTTCTCATTGTCTAGAAAATTCATCCATGTGGTGCCAAATAATACACACAGCAGAGGTTTAAAAACTTCAATTTCTTTTCGGAAATACAGAACAAGCTTGAATTAATTCAAAACTGCTAAAATTATTGCATTTATTGAAAGCCGAATTTAATGACTGAGTGTCATTAGCAAGGAACAGACCGAGAACAATTGATCGTCTTTCAGTCCCCAGTTAATTCCGAGACAACAAAGAACATCTTGCACTCTCTAGTGGATACACACGTCAACAGATGTTAACAGAAATAAAGTTCTTGAAAGGAAATGGGAGACCCAACCTCTTTTGAGAGCCGAATCCCGCATTAAATTACGCTCACTTTTCCAGTGACTTGATAAGTTGACTGAGTTATTTACACAAAGTGCGTCTGAACCCCTTTTATTATTATCTTATTAGTCACATAAGAAAAACACTCACTTCGAAACAAGGACAGATATGTCATGATGGTTTGGATGCGTCGGCGCAAGATTCTTCCTTGTGCTCCATTTACAGAAACTTGTTAGAGTAGCGTCAGCGTCTGTGTTGATTGTAAGACCAACCTGCAATTATACGAAACTGTCTTGTTCGAAATGTTCGTGTTATTTTATTAACTTCAAGAGTCACATCGGCCTTTTAATAATAACATTAATACAAATGTTAACAAGCAACTTTCTTGCATTTGAACATAAAGTACAAATCCTGCGTGGCAAAACTTGATTAAACAAAGTCGAAATACTGATCTTTTATCTTTTATCCATCCTATAATATACGTCAATTAACTTTGAATTATTTTACTATAAATTATGTGATTCTTCAGTTGTTATTAAAATTACTTCCCGTCTTTAAACTTACCTCTTCATCTTCTTTCTCCAGATACATTAATCGAACCAACACCAAATCCATTGTCTGTCCCACAGTCTCGTCATGCAAGATATCAGAAGCCTGAAAGAAAATAATAACGACTGAAGAGGTAACGGAGAACAAATTCTAGGCGTACGCGATGAGAGGCTTCAATGTCCGTACTTCACGTCGGTAGTTTAAAACGACCAAATAAAGTGACGTTATTTCTACCCGGCAGAATGTCCTAAGTTTTCAATTCAATTATTTATTATTAGTGTGCTGTATCAACAGCCTGAAGGCCAATTACAGATACAGCACAGAGACGAGCACACGAACACAATTTTTTTTTTGTAGTGTTCTGTCTGACGACAGGTCCATATGAACAGGATCCTTCCATCCTTTTCTCGGACTGGGACCTGTTCATATACGTTCTTGGCAGATGATCCAGAAGTGGTTTGCCATTGCCTTCTTCTGTGTGTGAATGGAGTAATTGTTGGGATGCCACGGAGAAAAACTCCGTGTTGCCTAGATCACGGCCTTGCCCAACACAAGTTATAAATCCGGGCACCGCCGGGAAACGAAGTGGGTACCCGGGGTTAAAGCGCCAGGAGCTATGCAACTCCTGGTGACAAGTTTGTTTTGTTTACACCGTCTGAGAAGCGTCGAAGGAAAAACTAAAATGCGATGAGTCAGGAAGAGTGAAATGGTCATGAAGGGACTGACATCTCTATCAAAATATAAAACATTTACGATCGAGGACAAAAAACACGGGGAACATTGCGAACCTGACCTCAAATTCTCAATGACAAATGTATATTTAGGCAAGTAAATTCATCTACTCCGGGAACAACCCTCGCTGTTTGTTAGTCGTTGACCCTTGCTGCATGACAAGGCACGCACCACGCCCCCCGGCGGAGGAAGCAGCCATTAATTCAAATAGCAAGTGTTACGGCCTGGTACTCCGGGGGACATGGCCCTTTGATCCACTAATCACTCGACTCGGGCTTTGAGGTGGGCCTCAGATATTCAGTGGTAGTGCAGTACCTGCTTTAATCCTGTAGAGCTCTTGATCAAATCCACGACCTCCACAATGATGGCTGCAGGTGTGGATGGAATTCTCGGACCAGCAGTGTCCCTTCTTAATATGTTTGTAACAGATGCAGATTTTGACAAGGGATGGACCTTTAGCATGGGATTTCAGCGTTTCCGGGACAACCAAAGTATGAACACTAATAAAAGTGACTCAGCGATGTTAAAAAGCTGTGACAGGATCGCTTAATGGCCAGTACAAAGTATTTAAATGCGATGTAATCAAAAAATTAGTGTACGTCTGTACCCAGGGCAGCGCGATTGCATCTACAGAAACACGTGTCTGACGAGTGTGAGATTTATTTTTCAAAACTTTTATAAAAAGTTTGAAGTCGAAGCTCGTCTAAATATTACGTATTTAAGGATTCAGTCCGTACCGCGAAGTAAACACAGCTCTTTACCATTACGAAGATCAACTGGTTAACGCTGTTTAAGGAAATAATCGCTGTTTACAGAGGGAATCATACGAAACACACAAATACAAAATGAAGAGCTGTTGATTGTTGAAGCAGGTGGTAGTGTTCTTATTATTCAAGAATCTGTCACAAGAATGTCTTCGAACCCATGTTACTAAACTTTTAATGAGCTTTTACGTGATCTGTTGCTGAGAATTTTTCTGCATTCCCCACTCAATCCTGAAAGGTGATGAAATTCATATAACGATAAGAAGATTAGGATGAGAAGAATATGAGGTTCTGTGTCGCTGAAAATGTAAGATCTGGTTTCTTTAGCACTTCAGAACTTCAGATTTCATTAAATTTACACGAACCCTGGGATCTAGACGGATTTCTCGTCCGTACTTGCAGTAACACTTTGAACGCTCACCTCTCACTGTTCCCAATCAAATCGTTTCCGTGACTACCATCTTCTCTTAGAACTCAATTACAGAGTTCATCACATTTACTGACGGAGCTACGTTTGAACCGCCCTTAGACGTGTTAATCGAGGTATTTTCAACAGGGCAAGATAGTTTGAGACTGGAATAAAAATGTTTTTTGAGTATCTAAACAACGTGGAATTTCATTTATAGATTCCATACACGATCAAGTAACTCACAGTGTCTTGGCGAAGTAATTAGGAAGCTTTTAATGTAAAGTTGACAACGACATGGGATTTAGTTTAGCGGAATGGAAATCCGTGTTTGAAATGTTTCGTTTTTCCTAAGAACCTAGTCTTTATCTGGGCCCTTAACATCCCCTGCCCACTCACGTGAGGGTGTTTTAATTCGTTGGCCACCCCTGGCCTAAGCTAATGTAATGTGTTCATATGAATCATTATGCAGTGAAGATAGTGAAAGTGCCCACCATACAAACTTATATAACGCGTAATGTAATAGAAATTTGAAAATACTAGTCAAATTAAAGAGGGGTAACATTAAACTGTGACAGTACGGATTGGACTCGGATGCCCGAGGTTGTGGTCTCGCGTTTTCTTACCATGTTCGTGGCTGTGAGGAGGTATTGCTCGTAGTCGATGTCTTTCCGGACCTCAAGGAATTTCTTGTCAGCTACAAGCATCACTTCAATGTACTTGGTGTCGTCATCAACAGATCTCTTTCTATTAAAATCCATTCGCGTATCATCCCAGACGGAACGTTTACGGGCATTGTCTTTTTTTTGTTTGTACTCGTTTTTCAAACGATTTGCCCACGCGGTTTCCCAGTCGTCTGAAATCATGAAAAACTCACCATAATCATCATCGATTAACCGCTTGAGCTACGACTGGACCGACACCGGCCCAACTGACTACGTTTACAGAATTTGATGCGAAAAAGAGGAAAGCGTAAAAGGTGTAAAGATTTCTTAATAACTAACTGAAATCTTTATCAGTCAAAGTCCAGAGAACCACGTGAAATAGGCCTACATATTTTCCCATTTCAATTTGAAACTTCACACTCAGCACTTAAGAAACAGATTATTTTTCTGTAGAACAAGAGAAAATCTCTGAGCATAATCTTGTCACTGAGACAGAAAAAGAGAGAAAAGAAAAGAAATGTGTATCGTGAGTCTTTGGCAATTATGCCCGTGGAAGAGAAGGTGTCACAGAATACGCTTACTTCTTGTACCACACTTTCCTTTGCGATCGTGACTGGCGGATCTCTTGTAAACAAGATGTAAATGTTGACCATTGACTTCGGGTTCATGACCTTCAACGGGTTCGATGAGGTAAACATCCCTTTTGGTCCTGATGTGACCGACCTAGGACAAGAAGTGCCACGAGCAATGTGTCATTTCATTCCGCTTAAATATGCAAGCAGGAATTTAAAATGTCTCGCCTGTTATTTCTCTATGTAAACACTTAAAACACTCATGGGGTAACACAATCTTAAGCTGGAAGATTCTGTGACCCTGAGTGATCTCAGCCCCTGCAATGCGGAATGCAGGATGAATGTCCATAATCATGAACGTCCTCCTGTGGATCCGAACACCGATTACACCTTTGACCTGTGCAAATCAGTTATTCTATATTTGTTTCTGACTGACTTATAATTTAAGAAAAATTATGAAAATTAAATGGATCCATACTTTAACGTATTGAATTACAAGGGCAGCTGAATCAGTTGATAGGCTGAAATTATAAATGTCATTTTGCTTCAGTTTTACATTTTTAAAGAACACCACAGCACAAAAATAAGTGTTAGGAAATTAAGTTAATCTTCGTTTATACACCACAGCTCACCCTGACCACCATTTTCACTGACAAGACACTTTCGTCTGATAGTAGATATTACCACGCATAATTCATCATGTGCCATGCATATAAAACTATGCAACGTAACACAATGCCTTCTTTTCACTTACATCTAAGAACGAATGAAAAAATTATCTACAACAAATTCTAAACAAAAAAGCCGATTCGGTTTCAGGTGCAAGGCAAGTGTCACCCCAGCACCTGTCATTTTTAATCCGTAGTTTGAGTAATTTTAAATGGCAACTGAACCAACATTCAATGTGGATTCTGTAAAATTTGTACTTTAGACACGGCAATATATTTCTTTGAAATGAGCGAATTTGGACCAATGGAAGGAAAAAATGTGACTTACGTTCAAAACATCTGATAACGATAATTGGGCACAGCACTTTAAGGGTTAAGTCACCGGAAATTCAAACATGATCAAGTTTCCGGGTTTCGCCTCAGACACATCCGACTAGTACCTCGAGATCTGCAATGGCCGCTTCCTTCAGTATACCTTCAACTGATTTTTCATCAATTATCCAATTAATCGAAGCTGTCGAATTCGACCTACTGACAACGTCCTCAAACAAACCGGAAGTACACAATTCATGTTGGTACTTCTGAAGACACGACAGCGTCCTCAAACAAACCGGAAGTAAACAATTCATGTTGGTACTTCTGAAGACACAAAGTACCAACACCGCGAAAATGAGAGTTAAAACAGTTGACTCACGATTCCGTCGCAAGTAGAGAGCGCCACCCGTGACTCTGGTTGTCCCTTGATCCTCCCGGTGTAATGGCACTGCGAATCGTTCACAGATCGGATCTTGAGCCTGTTGAGATCACTCGCAGACCCTGACTGCCGAGTCTCCACAACGAATCCTGGCGAGATCAGACCGTGGTTCGGCCACAGCTCCACCACGTGGTCCTGTCCGTCCAGATTAATCCCATAATGCACTCTTTCGGAATCCGCACGTGCCTCCCGCTTCCTCCTTCTTACGTCCTGCTGGAAGAAACTCGGGAGAGAGTGCGAGACGAAGGAACCTTCAGGATCGACTCTCACCGGCACCAGCAGATCGTAATCACCGATTCCTTTCGTGTACCTGCCTGGTTCACAAAACAACAGGAATTCATTAATCACGCAACTGACGAACTCGGAAGTCTGAAGTCTCGCGTCTTTGTATTTGATATCAAAATTGTGTAATAAGTGATAGAAAATATGACAACATGTGAGCCCCGTGAATCCTTGCCGAAACGTCGGTTAACACCAATCGTTCGACACTGCGCCTACCTTCATGGGGCTTGTCTCTCCATCCACGGTCTGCGAATTTGAAGCCACACGAAGCACCAAACAACAGAAAAACGCACAAAGCTAATCGTAAGACCGCCATAGTCGATTTCTTTCTAACGAACGATTTACAAACTTCCCCTGAGTATCCGAGGCAACGCAGACAACAATACAGTACACAGTAAACAATCGACTGCGACTGTTACGAAATCAACAGGACTACCAGCCAACAATTGAAGTAAACACTTACGTGCATGTTTAATGACACTCATTTCTGTAAATAATGTTTTTTTTAAAATTACAAATATACGCCTATATTTCATCACAGGGTTTAAATAGGCCTATAAATAAATTTTTAAAAATAATAAAATTTTATAATTCGGTGAATGCAGCTTTGCGAATGTTTTTTTCCGATTCAAAAATGTGCGAATAGACTTTTTAAAATGCATGCTCCCATCTACAGACGAATGAATTGTGAGATGTACGATATATATTTATTTATTTATTTATATATTGCCACACGTCAACAAATATCACAATATATTCCCTCCGAAAACCCATCTGACGATATTAACCTTCGGATCAGAAGATTTAAGATTATTTCAGGCCTCGCCATAAATTCGCGCTCATATCATAGGTATAACGTTCAAGTACGACACGCTTCGACCTTATTCGGCCATCTTCAGGAGAACAACTTAAATCTTAACTAAACTACTACATCAGCATAAAGCATGGAGGCATTTCTAAAACTTAAAGTGGTGGGGCCTGGGCGTGGTGGCCCACGAGATGTCGGAATCCACGCCGATCGAAAAAAATATAAATATTAAGGACCTCATGACTTGTGCTCTACACCACAAATAGAAAGAAAAGGGTGGGATTGGCAGGGCATGTAGAGCGTGTGGGGGGGGGAGATGAGAAATGCTCGTAACATTTTGTTGAACGACACGGCCAAATAGACTGGAGGATAATATTAAAATGGACCTTAATTAAATATGGTTGGAGGCTTTGGATTCGATTCATCTGAACCCCGGGGTTTTATAGAATGGAATATTTTTAAGTTTGTTTTAAGATTCTGTTGCTAATCAGTGGGCTAAAAGTTACATCGAGCCAACAGCTGTTATGATTTGCACTTGTACAGTCTGTCTCAAAAGCCCTGTAATTGTTAGGCGAAATTGCGCTCTGACGTCATGAGGTGACCAATACTCCACGGCGCAGTGGTCTTCTCGAGAAGCTAACAGTTACTCAGCTGGTCACCTTCTTTGATAGACCCTTGAAGTTATTCACAACTGCGCCAGACGGTCTCGAATGTAATTGCAGTTAAAAGCTTATAGGTCGATTATTGGTACTTTAAAATTCATTCGTGGTATAAACTGGGCATTTGTCAGAGTAAAAAACTTTCTGGTATAATTAAAAACTCTACAAAGATGTTCCACCGACACGGCAAAAATTACAATTTAATAAAACATCGATTTTGATATCACCCTGTATATTGTCCAAACTATAATCATAGACAACCAGACACTTCGCCTACCTTCATGGGGCTTGTCTCTCCATCCACGGTCTGCGAATTTGAAGCCACACGAAGCACCAAACAACAGAAAAACGCACGAAACTAATCGTAAGGCCGCCATAGTCGATTTCTTTCTAACGAACGATTTACAAACTTCCCCTGAGTATCCGAGGCAACGCAGACAACAATACAGTACACAGTAAACAAACGACTTCCTAGCGATTGTTAAGCGGTCTACCAGCCAACAATTGAAGTAAACACATTTAAGTTAAGTTGCTAGTGACTAGCTACGGGCTGGACGACCGGGGTTCGATCTCTGACGGGGGCAGAGGATTTTTCCTCTAGCCTCTGGGGCCAACCCAGCTTCCTCTACAATGGGTACCGGGGTCCTTTCCCGGGGGTAAAGCCGGCCAGGGCGTGATGCTTACCACTCACCCGCATCTAGTGCCGAGGTTAAGAATGAGTTGGAGCTACACCGACACTCCCCCCAAGCGCCTACATGGCGTATAGTGGGACAAACTTTACTTTGGCTTCCTGCAAATTAATACTGTAATTCTGAGAGCAGATTCTGTTTGGAGTTTACATCATGGTTAAAAGTATTTACTGTGGTTCACAGGTCCCAAAAGCGAAGTTTCTAAGGCAAGCGAGAGGGTTGCCATCTACCGGCATCAGTAATTAACTAGATGAACCGGAAACAGGATTATGTGAAACAAAAGACGGCTATACAAATATGGCGTCCAGTGTATGACCCCAAGAGTCAAATGTTACACGTGAAGAGAACCTGTCTGGCTTGTGACGTTTAGACACAAAGTCAATTTTTACTTCGTTATTACAGAATGTATTCTAACCGCAAGCAAACCGAGATATTTAGGAATTGCATAATTTCGGGCTCTACAGCTGAATGCGAGAACAAGGGTACAATTTAAAACTGCGATAATTTTCAGGGGCTCTGAATCCCACCAGACCATCTACCTCATTCGCCAACTCAAGAAATTACGTAAACATAAATAAAAATAACTTGTTTATTTTCAAAGCTGAGTTAAAGGCGGGAAAGTGAGGTTAAGTTACGTAATAAACCACGAAAGGCTTGGAATAAACACTCGGAATATTTGTTCTTAGTTGGTAGTCTTTCCCAGCTTTGAAATTTTAATTTGACTTTAATCCTCTCTTGCACTCGCTGCTTCCTTCCAAATCCGTACTTCAATTGTTTACTCGTTGCCGGGGTACGGCAGGTTCTGTGACGTAATAATAATCAACAGCACAGAATAACATTGTTACGAAATCTTATGTTGCCTAGGAACAGTGGTAAACATTGTGTTAGAAGTAAGTCATTCTTTGTT